GGTCATTTATGTGCTTTAGGTGAATGTTATCGATATGGAATCGGAGTTGAAAAAGATGAACAAATGACATTCGAATAACAGGGGGAACCGTTGATGTTACACATCTGATTTTACACATGGTGTGAAACACATAAAAAAATTATTTTACAATACTTTGATTGGACTTGATCAGTCAGTTAGTACATGTTACGATTATAATCCAGCATCATTTTTTTATAATAAAAAATGATGTTGGATTATAATCATAACATGTACTAGCTGACTGACCAAGTCCGATCAAAGTATTGTAAAATAATTTTTTTATGTGTTTCACACCGTGTGTAAAATCAGTCGTGTAACATCAACGGTTCCTCCTGTTCATTCGAATACTATCAAAAAGCTGCTGATATGAATGATACTACAGGAATATATAATATTGGAGAATGTTATTATTATGGAATTGGAGTCAAAAAAGATGAGCAAAAAGCATTCGAATATTATCAAAAAAGTGCTAATATGGGTTATGCTCGTGGAATATGGATTGTTGGAAGTTGTTATCGAATTGGATTTGGAGTTGTAAAGGATAAACAAAAAGCATTTGAATATTATCAAAAAGCGTCAAACATGGGTGATGCTAAAGGAGCAAATGAGGTTGGATATTGTTATTTAAATGGAATTGGAGTTGAAAAGAATAAAAAAAAACATTCGAATATTATAAAAAATCAGCAAAAGTGGGACATATTATTGCAACACATAGTGTTGGATATTGTTATGAAAATAGAATTGGAGTTGAAAAAGATGAACATAAGGCATTCGAATACTATAAAAAATCAGCAGAGATGGGATTTCCTGATGGAATGTATTATGTTGGTGAATATTACCGAAAAGGAGTTGTTGTTGAAAAGGATATAGATATTGCTTTCGAATGGTATTTAAAATCTGCTATCACTGAACAATGTAGATTTAATAATGAAAAATTGGAATTTTTTCATTGGATGGCATATGATAAATTTGAAAATATCGAAGAAATAGGTGAAGGAGCATTTTCTACTGTTTTTAAAACAAAATATTTAAATCAATATGGGACATATGAAGAAGTAGCAATCAAGATCGTAAAAGATTCTAATAAGAATAAAGATCCATTCATGAAAGAGGTATTTTTTAATATTTATTTTTATTTAAATAATTTGAATAATTTGATGTAATAATTATAAAAAACTTAAGCGACCGATTTTTTTACCTTTAAAGCTGCTGTTTTTTGACAAGAGATACAGTGAGATACGGTAGTTCAGCAAAGTAGATGAGAAACGAAATTTTTACCGGCCTTAATAATGTTGGAAGGGTCGGAAGACTTTAATAATATTTGTTGGTTGAAATTCTACATAGTTAAGTATGTACTGTACTATACTAACTTTTAATTTACTTGTGTTGTATAAGCGACTATAGAAAACAATAACCACAAGCTTAATCTATTTGAAGAAGTTCTTCTCGGACCAAATAAACACTAAGCATTATTTATCGAAAGTTAGCTGAGACAGGTCTTTCAGAGTATTTTTAAAATAGCTATTAATTGGGTATTTTTTATAAAAATTACTAGTCTGTTAGTTTTTAAATATATAATTTTTAAAGTTTATATCTTGCCCGGCAAACTAAAATATATTTATATCTATTATAGTAAAGCATTAGGTGGAGATGTTAATCGGCAAAGAACTTTTGAGCACCGTCTATCTGATCTTAGATATATACAAACGATTATGATTTGAATTTGCTCTTGAGGTTCCTGAATGTTATATTGAATTAGCTAAGCCATGCATAATTACGACCTGAATTTGCTCTTGGGATTCCTGAATATTAATCAAATTAGCTAAGCGATGCATAACTACAAACCGAATACACTCCTGAGACTCCTAAACATTATATTAGGGGGTTTCAGACCTAAGGTTTAGGTTTCTGATTTTGAATTAAATTAGTGTCGAAATCAGTGATCTATAAGTCCTATTTATTTTTATTTGTAAGTTTATTTATAATAATGAATATTTTTACAATGGTAAATTTTTTTTTTCAAAATTCTATATCTAACCATCAAAAAAAAAAAAAAAATTGGCTTATTTTATCTCCTGATAACCTATTTCATTTTCTGATTTTGAAATTTTGAACCAACAATAGGACCCATTTATTTTCAAAATAAGTTAACTTTGAAACCCCTATTAAGTTAGCTAAGCAATTCACGGATTCTGATCCAAAAAATGGGTTGCTGCTTATGACTTTCGGTAAAAGCTTAGGGAATGGTATGGATTCAAATAGTACAAATAAATTAAAAGGTAATTTGTATACTAGCAAAATAATAATTTAAGTGTGGTATAATGTGTTAATATTGTAGCATTTATATTATTAAATAAAAAATTTAAGAAAAAAAAATAAAAAAATAGTTATTTTCAATTGATAAACTAATAAATATCAAGTACAATTATAAAACTAGATTTAAGTGATTTTAAATATATAGGGGGGTATTATAGTTACTGAACGATCTATTTATTGCAGTAAAAATAGACAGTTTGGTAAACTTGTAGTATATATGTCATGCGTCAAATTAAAATTTGTGTCAGATCAAAATTTAAATATTGAGTTATTAGGGTTAGGGTGAAATCCTATGTTAGGGTAGGGTTGGGTATTAGCGGCATTATAGTTATTTTGATCTGACGCATATTTTAATTTGACATACAACATATACATGCCATAGAAAATATTATGGCATAATTTCTACCTGAATTTTGGCATGCGATATTGCCTAAAGTTAAATTCATGTTACAACTAATGGTTCTGGTTTGACTTCCCGAAATCCATTTTTTCTGAGATATCATTTTACCAAAGTCATAATACCGATAATTCATTTTACTAAAAAGACAGAAATAGATCTATGTCATTTGACCAAAATCAATTCACTGACAAGTTTATTTTACTGTCAATTATTTCACTGAAAGCTCATTTCATCCAATAAGTTTTTTAAAAATTGCACTAACCACAACTCTAATTCTAACTTGACCCTAATGCAATAACTGGAATTACTTTGTTGTTAAATGACTATTGATTAAATAAACTATCGATGAAACAAACTATTGGTAAATTAAATTGTTGGAAATAGGTCTTGTTAAGAAAAAGGGATATTGGAATTATAGAGTTAGAGAAATAGCATTTTGGAAAAGTGGGCTTTGGAAAAGTAAGTGACAATAATAACTAATAGATAATGCTTAAAATCAAGATTAATATTATAAATACTAAAAATAATTAAGTATAATTTAATATATAATTAATTGATATAGAGATATTAAGAATATAATAAAAAGAATTAATAATTAAAAAATATATTTTATTTAAATAATTTGATTTATGAATATAGTAATTATCTTTATTTTAGTAACAAATTTAAAGAAAACTAATAATATAGAATTTATTTATTACCAATTATGTATATCATTAAGAGCTGTTAAATATTTTAAATTAATACTATCTTGTGCTGATAAAAATTGTGCTTCATTTGTTTCATTATTTTCATCATCATTATTTTCATCATTATCATTATTATTATCATCTTCTATAAGTTCTTTTAAATCATCATCACTACTTTCTAATCTTTCTATAAATGATTTTACATTTTCAAAAATTCCTTTTTTATAATATTGTATACAATGTTCACATCTATTATGATTTTTTTTATAACAATCTAAATGATATCCATGTCCACAAATTAAAATAATTTTATTTCCTTCTATAGTTTCAACAAGAACTTTTTTACAAGCATCACATTTATTTAATGTAGGTGGAAAAGATGAATGATATCCAGCAGGAAGATTTCTAATATCTACAGTTAGCTGAAGAGCTGATAATGTAAATTTTTTCTTATTTTTAGAAAATTGAGTTGTTTCAAGATTATTATAAATAGAATGAAAAGTTTCTAATAAAAATATTGATATTTTTTGAATTAATATATCTAAAGTTGATGAAGAATATAGATATTTTTGTGTATTTCTATAAAAATTTATAAAAGAATAATTATGATAATTTAATATATATGTTTGTTTTTTTATAGTATCAACTGAATCTTTTGAAGTTGTATTTGCTCGAATCTTGCTATGAATATTTTTAACAAAATGGTCATTAAAATTTACAAGATAAGATTCTAATAATTTACTAAATGGATGATTTGTATCTTTCCAATAAAAATAATCAGATAAAAATGCCAAAGATGCTTTGTTATAATTTTTCTATTCTAGCATAATGCAAATGTCCAAATTCGAAAAATTGTTTTTATATATTCTTCAAATGATCCAGATCTAAAAATAATTGCATATATATCCAAAGCTGCTGGAATTAAATTATCCAAAAGATCAATAAACATTCTATATTCTATATCTTTACATAATTTAGGAATTTTAAAATAATTATATTACTAATTTTTTTCCAACTTTCACTTGCCAATTCTAAAAGAAGATTAATTTTATAAGGTTGAGGATTTTTAGCTAATTGTTTTTTTTTAATCAAAAAACAAATTTATATAATCTATTAAAAAATTCATAATGACCTATTGAAATATGTTGTCTTGTATTTAAAGAAACATGCAAAGGTCCTAAAATTGGAATAGAATTTTTAATATTTGTTGGAATAGTAATTTGATAATTTGGATTATTTTTTTGAAAATTTAATTCTTTTTGTAATAAAGTAATAGCTTTTCAAATATATAATTGGCCTGGCCAATCTGCTATAACTGGTAAAATATCTTGATTTAAATATTTATATAATGATGGTATTTGTGTTATCATTGAAAGTGCTTTAATATAATCTGTTGTTGATTTTAATCTATATTCTTCAATATTAATAATTTGAACATTTTCTATTGATCTTTCATCTTTTCATTCACAAATTGCATCATCATAAATATGAATTGTAAGAAGCTCTATTTGATCAAAATGTTAAAATTTTTAAATATTTTGATTAGTCCAATGAAATTTTTGAGTATTATAACTTATATCAAAATTTTCATTATATTTTTCAAGTAAATATTTGTTAATTAAACTTGCATCAATATTAAGAGGATTAAAAAATAAAATATTATTAAATATTGCTGGAACTGGCATATAATTTTCAATTCTTTTTGTTATATATATAGCCATATGATGTACATTTGATAATGATGTTGTATTTGATCTTTTATAAGAATGAATTGAATGATAGTCATCAATATTAAAAACATGCATAGTATTTTGCTAAATAAATAAATTAAATTAATAAATTAAAATATTATATTATAAAATTTTTAATAATAAATTATTTTTAATTATTAATTTATTTTAAATAAAATTAATAAATTAAAAATTATATACTATATTATTAAAAAATTTTTTAATAATAATTTTAAATATATATAATAAAAATTATTATAAAAAATACTATATACTTACATAAAATGTAAAATAATTAAAAATTTTTGTTAAGTGTTCTTTTGTTATTTTTTTTTTATATTTATCAATTGTTTTATAACATGCTGAAATTCCAAGATTTGCTAATGTATCTATTGCAGAACTACTACATCCAGATTCTAATAAATAAAGACCAATTTCTATTTTTAATTCATTTGCAAATTTATTTTGAGCTCCAGCAAGAAGATAACAAAATGCAACTGCAATTTTTTTATCATTTTCTCTAGTTTGATGATCTCTATTTTTTGGTCTTATAGCATTAAAAATTTTATCAAAAAATCCATCAAGTAAAAAATGAGATTTTGTAATTAATTCTGAAAATTTTTTAGGATCTAATTCTATTGGATTATTTAATCTTCTTTGTTCTTTAAAAAGAATTTTTGAAAGTAAATCGATTTTATTTTCAAAATTTAAAGCTAAATAATAATAAAATATTATTAGTATTAAAATAAATAAATAAATAAATAAATAAAATATAATAAATTAAAAAAAATTTTACTTGATATTGAAGTATTTAAATCTATTTTATTATTTAATTTTTGATTAATTTCTGCTTGAAATATTTCTAATTGATTTGTTCTATTAATTAATTTTGTAAAATCATCTTCACTTAAAATAACTTCATTATTTGTAATATTAATTGTAATATCTTTCCACTCATCATTAATAATATCTGAAAGTGTAAAAATTTCATAAATTTTTTTATTAGTAATATATTCTGATAATTTTTCTTTATTATTTCTATCAGGCTCTACAATATTTAAATAATGCATATGGTATAATTGATCATTTATTTTTAAATAATTATACTCATTAAATGTATTTTTCGCAATTGATTTTTCCATTGCTTTTGCAGTAAATTTATGATAACGAGTAACATTATCATTATTACAATCTGTAACTTGACAAGGATCTTGGTTTTGTTGAGGCATTTTAAAGTTTTTTTTTAAAAAATTTTAATTGATAAAAGAAAATTCAAATTATAAAATTTTATTTTACATTTGCGTTTATTCAAGTATTTATATTTATTTAATTGTTTATACATTAAACTTACACATTTATTTATTCACTTACACATTAAACTTACATATTCATTTATTCGCTTACATATTTATTTATATTTATTCTATAAATATATTATTTATAATTATTCATATCAAAATAATCATAATTAAATTTAAATTTTATTTAAGATAACTAAATATATTTTAAAATAGAACTTTAAATTAAGTTGGATAAAGTAGAAAGATTAAAGATATTGCTAATTGTTATAAATAAAATCTAATATTATTGCACTCAATTAAACATATATTAAATAATTCATTAACAAAGTTCAATAATTAAGAAAATATAAATTATATAGTAGTAAGCTTAATATATATAAAATTATTTAAACATAGAAACAAATAAATTCATATTTCTCTTACCGAATTAAAAACTTGACAATTGAATTTATTTATTTATTTATTTAACTAGTAGCTTGTTAGAGACTACTATTAGCCTTTAAAGTTTTTGTTTTTAAATACTTAATATTTTTCATTATGCTGATAATAAAAGTCTTCACAAGTTTTTAAGAATAAAATATCAAAATCTTACCAGTCGAATTAAATTAAAACTACTTAAAAATATAGATTGGAACACAATTTTTAATTAGTGGAAAATAAATTATTTGGCCAAGCGAATTCATTATCACAATGAAAAAAAAGATGGTCTTTGACCATCTTTTTTTATCAAAGAGTTGTGCTAATTGGCTAAAATTTAATACCCGCATTTTGCAACATGAATCTTTGACAAAATTACTATAAGAATTACAATTAATTGTAGTACTTGTGCACGATCTCTATAACTAGCCAATCAGTTGAGAGAAACGCTTGAGAACACCCTTAGTTGAAATTCTTAATGCAAGGTATATTCATATGAACTTTCATAGTGGTAATGTTTTGCACAAGATATTAGTAAAAGTATGCCATCTTACAACAGGTAGATCTAGAATTTAAAAAGACAGATATTAAAATTTGGAATAGTTTTAATTAAAATAATTATCTGTTTGTGTCTTACCGGATTGACTTTTATTCTTAAGATAGTGACTCAATATCTGAGATAATGGAAATATGCAACTAAACGGATTAACACCTCAAACTTGACATTCCAACATAGCATTATCTTTTTGTCGTGATTCATACTTTATGTATTTTTTTTTTTAAGTACTTAGAGATTCAGAGGAATCAATTTTTTGCTTTTATAAGAGTTTTTAAGGTTCGAATAAATTTTACCTTATTTGAAAGAACTTGCTTAATGTATAAAGTTTGCCGGCAATTATTTAGTAGTGGTAAAACAAAAATGATAATAGATAACTAGATAACGAATAATAAATAAATTAGCCAATCAGAAATGATTCGCGGCACATGATCGGAGATATAATCGACGCTTTATCCGAAGTATGATCGACATATTATCCGAGGTATATCAATAGCCAATCAAAACGAACTTCTGCTATGCTAAAGATACTTCATGATATTATATCTAATCTTGATCGTATTCATGATAAAAGATATTTACATCGAGATTTACATCCG